CAGCTACTATTTTTAACTTAAAAAACATTATTACATTCTACACATCCTTAAGTCAGGACCAGACCTTTGTTAGAGTTTCCCATCATGTTTGCTCCTAGAACTCCATGATTTGAGCAGCATCTTCATGCCCACAATTGAGTACGTGCCCCATGGCAGCTCTGAGAGCCACTTTCCATCCTTCACAGCTTCTTGTGTAAAGATGGAGAGAATAAATGAATCTCTGAGGTGGTGCTCTTAGGAAGCGGCAGCCGAGCCTACTCAGACCCGCACTCACCACACCCGCCTCGATAGAGGCAAATCAATACCCTCCCCACTGACCACAGCACCCATGGGTATAGGTAAACCCCAGGTATTTTTATAACATGGAAACAAAGGTGCTTATGAGGATAGCTACTATCAAAAGAGCAGAAGAGAACAAGAGTTGGTGAGGATGTGGAGAAAGGGGAGTCCTCGTGCACTGTTGGTGGGAATGCAGGCTGGTGCAGCCACGCTGGAAAACAGTATGGAGTTTCCTCAGGAAGTTAAAAGTAGAACTACCTTATGATCTAGCAATTCCACTTTGGGTATTTATTCAAAAGAATTGAAATTAGGATTTTAAAGAGATATCTGTACAGCTACATTCCTCACGCCATCATGCCATTACTCACACTAGCCAAGATATGGAAACAAACCAAATGTCCATCGAAGGATGAATAAAGAAAATGTGCATGTACACATGACGGGATATTATTCCGCCTTAAAAAAGGAGGAAATCCTGCCATTTGTGACCCCACAGTGGGATGCAGAGGACATTATGCTAACTGAAATAAGCCAGACACAAAGAGACAAGTACTGTGTGATTCCACTCATATGTAGTATCTGAAGGAATCAAAATTGTAGCAAGTCAGTTGCAAAAGGTGAGGGAGAGGAGGATGGGAGAATCAGTGTTTAGTGGGGACAGAGGTTCAGTTTTGCAGGGTAAGTTCTACACACCTGTCACACAGCCACGTGAATATACTGAAAAGGAGGGAATTGTACAGGTAAACATGGTTAACATGGTAAATATTCACATGTTTTTTCCACCATAAAAATAAAATGTAACACTGAGATCTAAAACAAAGCCCCAGTTATAAAGTATATGAATTTTCAATTTAGAGGCATTTCATCAACACAAGCAAATGCGAGGACAAAGCTAAGACAATATGTAGTTCAAATGAAGAGATGTAGTGGATGAGCAAATGTGACCGTGGTCACGTGTTCCCTGAGATTCTCTGTTCCAATCCAAGAGCCGTCACATTTACGAAACCCAACCACAAAGAACTTCAGTAATTTCTCAACAAACGTGAGCATCATCCGTCATCAAGACATGTCAGACCTTGTACCAAGACCTCTCGGTGCTATTTTAATTTGGTACTAATTAGATTAAATGGCCTTCTCTGTATCTTCTTGTTTTTATTTTTAAATTCTCCTTCACTGAGTACTTTAAGCTGACAAAATCATGAAAAAATACATATTGTTAAAAATATATATATGAGGTTTTTATTTAAGTTGAGCCCACAGGGACAGGGCAGCTGGATATGGCCCCCGGGAGACAGAATCTGATTCTACGGAGAGCAAACCCGCCTGCAGAGTCGATTGCTTACCTTTTACAAGTTACTGCTTATAGATCAGCCCGGACGCCACAGTGACATTCAGTAAGTAACCTTCTCCCGAGTGACGAATGACACCTGCCAACATGGAGTGGCATCCTGGCCCGGCTGACTGTAGGTGAAGTGAGCAGGGCAGACAGGCAGTGCAGGGCCAGCCACAAAGCCGTCAGGGGGCGTCTGCAGGTTCCCACTGTGGGGCCTCTCCCGGATACAGCCACTGTGGACAAAAGTGTGGAGCCTCCCCCAAAACTGAAAATAAACTACCCTACGATCCAGCAATTCCACTTCTGGGAATTTATTCGAAAGAATTGAAATCATGATCTGCACAACTGTGTTTGTCACACCTTTAATCACAATGGTCACGATGTGGAAACAGGGTTGTCCTGTGGAGGTCACGCACCTGCAACGGTCCCCGGGGCCACAGTGCACACCCAGCCCCCCTCTTCATGCTTCTCTTCACCCTCCATGGCCCTTTATTTGCTTGCTGGTCACCCCGTCCTCGGAGCCCTCTGTCTCTGCAGGGCAGAAGCCGGCGTGATGGACACACCCAGGGACTAGCTCGCTGTGCTCCACAGAGGACAGCGCCTAGACCGAGTGTGTCCACCTGACAGGTGCGTGTGGGGGATAGACTCGGGAGTGTTCCCAGGGGCTAGCAGGGGCCCCACCCAGGGATTAGAGCCGTCTAGGCATCCTCCTGTGAGTCCAGGGTAGCACCCTTCCTTGAGAGCAAACCAGCGTGAAGAAAAAGAACTCCCATTTGTTGAGAGACAGGGGTTCAGGGAAGCGAAGGGTCCACAGGTGGCGACAACCTTGTGGATTCCAGCCCCTTTGGTCCCCAGGGCCCCCTCGCTCCACCCTGTCATCCAGCTCGCCTACCTTACTCAGAACACCTGCTTTCCAGCACAAGTACCATCTCCATGGGACACCTGAGAAAAAAAGGGGGTGCCTTAGGTGATCTCTTGTTCTTCATGAATCTGGGATATCCTAAGAGCACAGAGACTCTGCTCAAAGGTCACTCCTCCTCACATGAACAGCCTGGGGAAAACCATGAACAACCGGCGAAACTCCCTTTAACTCCAAAGAATTCAGTTATAGTCCTATTTGCGGCGTGTGTCTTCGGCTGCAGTGAATGGCCAGGCTACGAGCCAGAAGTCAGGCTCAAACGCTGCCATGTTTGGCTACTGTCTGTGATGGAGCAGCCTTCTGGGAACTCACCAGCGGGTGTTCCATCTTTCTGATTCTAATGACCTCTAAATAGAGTCATGTTCTGCAGCACAGCCCCTATTCTGTGACTCTTTAGGCCTTTAATGGTCTTTTAAAAAATACTGAGATATTAGACTGCACCTACCTACATGCACATAACTCAAGGTTTAATTGCAGTGAGACTAATTATTCCCACTTAGATTGTGAGGATAACGTAGTATGCATGCTGCCCTTTCTTAGAATGAAAGATTTATAGATCATTTTAATGGCATTTTAATCATTCCATTCTGTTTTTTAATTCAGCATATTAATTTGCAGAGACATACTGGCAGCATTTAAAATCCCCACGAACTTACAGTGAAACATAAAAAAGGCACTTCCATTATTCATCAGTCTGTACAGGAGAGCGGGACAGACAGAGCAGGTTGTACTTGCAGCTAATATGGAAATCCCCATAATTCATATTAGGGGTCAGCAAACAAGTAGCTTGATGCAAGGGCTAATTTTTATATATTACTATTATTCGTCTGCAGAAGGAAGGAGGACATCTGCTAAGCATTTCATCTCATTTGTTTGACGGCCCACTCTCCGGCATTCCACGAGGGAGCTCTGTGTGTGTGGGCTGTTGGTTTGGATTTTGCAGAAATGGAGAGTGGAGTGCTGAGAAATGTACAAGAAGCACACACACGCAAAAGAAAAAAAAAGAAAGAAAGAAAAGGGCTAAGGGGACCAGATGAAATCAACGGTGCGTCCTGTGGATTCTGCTCTCGTAGCAACAGGTAGATGCCGGGCCAGGGGGCAGTCCTGGGGGCTGCCTGGGATGGAGGGAAAGGAAGAAAGGGCACCAAACGGAAGGAGCTGAAATGTCCCACCGGCCATATCAGCCTTTACAAAGTGTGTTTCTTTATCTGTGAAATGATGCTTCTACCTCGCTGAGTTGTGTGGGTACAAAGAAGTGAATATTCAGGAAGTCGCAAGAGCAGTTCCCACTATAACAAAGAAGAGACATGGGAAGGAGGGGAGGCAGGGAGGGAAGAATCCACCGCCACCCTCCCTGCTGCTTTCTGCTGCAGAATAGGCATCTGGGCAGGGGTGAGGGGCTGTGAGCAGGACCTCAGGGACAGTAAACGTTCCCCCAGTGCAGGGGGTGTGGTCAATGCCCCTCTAAGTGCCCAGGAGCAGAGAGATGGAGGCTCCTCAGAGTCCCGCCTGGATCACCTGGGGGGGTGAGGGGTGCAGCTGCTTATCAGTCCCCAACTACATCTTAGAAAACATCCTTAATCTACACGGAGCCAAAAACTAATCTGTTTCCTCGCTTCTTGAATTTGATGAACAACCCTTACTAGTCATACTTCTGACAGGATCAGCACAGCCACGTGTGAAAAGTATAAAACATTTTTTTTTATGGAAATGCCCCTTTGGCGGAGGGAAGCAATTTAAATTCAAGATGAAAGTGAGTAAATAAACACTATTAGGGGAAAAAACCCTTATCAGCAAAATAAATATACAAAAATTCTTCTTGAGACTCCAAGACGGAGCAAGGTTAAATCCAGGCAAGCCCATCTGTTTGACAGGTTGGCTTGATAAACGAAATAAGAAAAGGTTAACCATAATGTGATCAAATGTGCCTCGTCTCTCGTGAGAGAGTACTAATTGCACAGAGCACAAGCCCTAAGCTAATTCTTACAGCCCTGGTGATTTCTGGTATCTGTTGATGTGTCAAAATGTGTAGACATTGCCAGTTTTGTTTTGTTTGTTTGTTTGTTTGTTTTTTAATGAAATACTGATGGTTGGACTCTGAAAGTAATAGGAAATCAGTTGCTGGATAGGGTCCTAAGTGGGCTGCTTTACCCAAATACTGCCCAGATCCCACCTCGTGTCCAAGGGCAGCTTCCTGCAGCCTTGGCTGCTACAGGGAAAGAGCATCCCCCATATCGGGCTGTCCTTCTTGCCCATGCTGAATGGAAGCAGCAACCTTGCTTCTTCACTTCTAGGGCACATGTCTCTTCTGCTCTCCATCATCCCCAGGTGGGGAGAGGACCGCAGGCCCAACCCCAGGAGGTGACATCCTTTTGTCATCATCCCAGGAGATACATTGTTGTTGCCCATCCCCCTCCTCTCCCATCCTCCACCTCTTCCTCCTCCACATCATCATCATCCTCAGCATCCCCATCTTCCTCCTCCTCATTATCATCATCCTCCCCATCATCCTCTTGTTGTCATTCCTGTAAAAACACCATGATTGTAAATTAAGAATTCAATAAGAAAGTAAGATTTCTCTCCCTGGTTTCTATTCAATAGGAGTCCCTCAATGAAGGATTGTTAGTAAATTATGTTTTTTTAATTCTTCACAAAACTATCTGTTGCTTAAAAATTTACGAGTTAATTGAGGCTATATATTAACTTTGATTCTATTCTAGTCATCTCCTTCTGACATATCACCCTGGTCTCTTAGTCTCTTGATGTAGACCTGGACAACAATGTACAATCCCATCAATGGCACGCTTATAAGTTATTTCTTAGATTACCACATCTTGCGCTTCCTTAATCTCACTCATAATGCTGAATTTTCATTACCTTCATTTCAGAGGGTAAACTAGTCCCCAGACATTAGTGTAGTTGCCTTGTTAGAAATCACTCATTCACGTGTTCACTTGATCAAACAGTCCTCCTCTCTCCCTAGTAAGACCAATTCATATCCAGGTATATGCTCAGGGTCTGGGGCCATTCCAGTCCAGGTGGAATGGGAAAGCCAGGAGCCATACTCAGGGAATCTTCTTGCTTGGTCATCTCTTGTGCCTTGTGGCCCCAGGCATCTTAAGTGAGTCATAACTTTGTTCTCAGATTCCTCCCACACCACCACGACCACCAGGTTCTGCAGGTGAGTCCCACCATTAACTGCCTACATTTGGACTCCTTCCAAAAACACCTTCGGGATCCCCCAAAGCTCTCCTGACTTCTCTCTCATCGTCTACCTGGGAAATCTTGGACTGGGGTCCTGAAATCTCCTGGCCAGTTTGTCTGTTATGATCCCCCTAGATTTCCCATGTCCCAAACCCCAGATTGCCCATCCAGAAACCCTGTTAAACATTCCTGATGCTAAATGCTTCCCGGAATCCCACCTATCATGTGGCCCTCCTTTCTGATTTGACATTATTCCATTACCAGCAGTTGGGTCTTTTCCCTGCGATAGGTGAATGAACACTAAATCCTAGCTCTTCTCACTTGGCTCAAAGCTTAGAGGCCATTAATTCTTTCGTGCCTGGCAAGAGCTCAGAATATACTACATATATGTTTCAGGAAATCAATTTTTTGCATGTTTCGGCATGTCCTCTCATCAAACTTCCAAAGTTGGAGCAAGAGTAGAAATGGACATCCACAGATCATATCACTAAATATTTTAAAGTTAAAATCAAGCTAACTGGTGGTGAAGTGGAATGTTTTTGAAGCCCCACCCTTTGTAAATATACTTTCATAACATCCAGAGAGGTCTGGTTCTTCCTGAGACCCATCCTTCTTCCCAGAGCTCTGCCTTGAACGTGAGGGTGGGTTACGAGGAGACCAGGGTCCTGGCCTCATCTAACACCCTGGCCTTCCCATCCTGGGGTCCTCCTACCCTGTAAGTGGCATCATACACCCATGTTGATACCCACCTGTGATCACCTAAATTCTATGCACCTGTTCATCCCTATAAACAGGTACCTTTTGGGTACAGACTGGTGAAGAGACAAGGACCTGGGGAAGAGGCCCAAGAATCTCTAGACCAAAGACCAATCATCAGAGAATGTGAGGTCCTGATGGGCATGTCCCTTTAACTCTGTGGGTCATGAAGCAGCCTGAGCGGGTCAGGGCAGAGGTCCAGGTAGCTCCTATCTGGATCCAAGGGCAGCACAGCTTCCAAAGACCCACAGTATGCTAGCAAGGGAGATGCCATGGCCACTGTGGTATCTCCTTGCTCCATCCTCCTGAAAAGAAGAGTGGCAGGCACCCTGGACCACCTCTCAAGTCTCTCTGAGGGGTAAATCACCCCTGAGTCACCAAACAGTAAGTTCCATCTGAAGGCTGGTCAAATTAGCTAACAGACCAGAGAAAGCCACACAACCAGACCCTCTGTCTTTGGAGGACAAAAGGAAGGCAGCAAACATGTGGACCGTGGGCGAGGAAGGGACAATGGAGTTTGGGGGTCAGTCCTCCTTCAGCCCCCGGCCAGCAGGCTGGGGAGGTATCTGTGCATGACTGGAGGGAGCCACCCTGAACAAGGCAACCACTGGAGCCCAGGCGGAAGGGTCTTCGCAGCTGGGTCTCCTCCCTGTCTGCGTGGTCTGGTCGCCCAGAACTGGTTCTTGCATTTGAAACCTCACTGCTTGCACTGAGGGAAACAAGATTTGTGAATTGACAGAATCCTGGGGCTATCCCACCCCGTGCTGGAGTCAGAATGGCTTCCTGGCAGGGCATGAACTCGCAGGAATGTTGAACCACTCAAGGGTGGGGGAAGCTGAAGGAGGGTGTGCAAGCAGAAGCACATTTTTTGTTCTTTGGATATATATTTATTCAAAGGCCTCAAATTATTCTTGAAGTCACATAAATTGTAACTGACCTTGAGAATGCAGGTGCTGTGTGTAGATTTTGCTGAGCTACACACTTTGAGTGCTTTGGGGTTTTTCCTTTCCTTTTCTTTTTTCACTTAATACTTCACCGTTCATATCTCGGATGGGAAGTCCTCTGCACTCAGCCATTTGGGAGCGTCATGAACTGTGCGGCAGTGGGTTAGGCAGCCTCCCGGTACCTCTGCTGGTACTGTGCCAGCTGGCACTGTAACAGGCCTTTTTGCCCAGAAGCTGCTGTGGATGATTTACTCAGACTGAGGATCAGAATTCCTGACGCCACCTGTAAAGATGGCACATAAGGACCAAGATAAAATGAACGTGTATTTGTAAAGAGATAAAAAGACTGGCAAGCACCAACAGCACTTCATGAGAGCTGAGAAAATGATCCCTTTGCTCCTAATCTCATGTTTCTGTACCTTTGAGCACTTAGACTATGGTTCGAGGGAATCACCGCCCAGTGGTTTTATTTAATTAAACATACACCAAACCAGCTGAGACCAAAGTTACTTTCCCTTTTGTTACCTTTCCCAATACATCAAAAGCAGCATCCACAGAATCCTTCGGTATTTCCTGAAGACTTGCTCCAATTTCCTTGTTGTCTCTGGGTGCTCCTGAGCTCAGAGATAAACTTATTTCCATATTTCACTGCTGCGCCAACACCATGGCATTCACTTCTGTGCACTAATTTTCAAAATCTTAATATCCTCTCTTTATTTTCTCTGTGACCCAATTTCCCTTTATTTTATGTCATTGTGCTATACAAGTTCTTGTGAATTATCTCTAAACAGTTTTGAAATGAGGATCAGGAGAGATTGGTTGGCTAGTTATCTGGTAGATGACAGATTAGATGGAAGGACAGACAGAAGGACAGAAGAATGGATGGATGGACAGAGAGATAGATTAGAGGATGAGCGCATGGATGGACAGAGAGAAGGAAGGACAGACACTATGGATGGATGGATGGATGGATGGATTAGATAGAGAGGATAAGTTAAGATATTATTAATCTTCCAGGTGGAAGAATAAAAACAAAATTCTTAACACTGGTTGCCTGGTTTGAGAGTGGAGGAAGAGAGCACAAGGGAGGAAATTGGAATAAAAGTGAGCAGACTGGTTCTTTTTTTCCACTTTCTATTATTTGATTTTTTGCAATGAGCACTTATCATTTTCAATATTTTAAAAATGCAAAGTAATAGAAATATATATACCCTATAAACATAAATGCTACATAAATGAAATATTAGATATAGAAATACAAAGTAAATATAGTGTTGATATGTAATATGTCCCTAAATTCTACATGTGAAATGCCATGAAGGCATCGCCGACACGCATTCCCACCAACAGTGTGAAGAGATTCCCTTTTATGGACATCCTCACCGGCACCGGTTGGCAACCTAATTTCTGATCTATTGTGGCATACCTCAAAAGATACCTTCATTATATACCCACCTTATATTTGGAAGATAGAAACATAAATGGATTATCTAAGACTGGAGGCAGAGCAGAAAGAGAACTACAGTGGTTTTTAGCCCACTCTCCACAAAAGAATTTAGAGATTTGTAGTGTCCTGTAAATTTATGGTAGAATATTAATAGCGCAATCGTTAACTATTTTTGTTAAAATATTTGACTTTTGTTTGCTTAGTGTATATGATTTATGATCAATTTAGAGTCCATGAGATTTTTAAAATATAATATATTAATAATTTAGGAATAGATATGTTTATATATTTGGTGGGTAGTTTGATTTAAATAATGAAAAATAATGATATCTATAGGAAAAATGTGATCCATAGAATAAATAAATAGAACAAATAAGCATATAAACAAAACATAGAATCTAAAAATGGTGTGCACACACTTCTCACTTCTGTATTTTGTCCCAATGTCTCCACTTTCTTGTACTTTGACACAAACTTCATGTATAAAATTTGACATCAAAAATTATCTTAAAGAAATGATTTTTTACAGCAGTTATACAATCTGTCAAAATACCACTTTATTTAAGGAACAGGGATTATACTGGATTGCATAGAATAACACAGGAGACAGGCATTTGCTTTTTAAAAGCTGATTATCCCAAAGTTCTGCGGCCAAATGCAGTCTTAACACACTGGAGGCTTAGGGAACTCTGGCCTCACAAATCACCCCTGGACTTAGGGGTATTTATAGAATATTGAATTACATAAGACATACAGATATCAATTTCATTAGAAAAGAATGCTGACAGCGCATTCTGTCTGTCGGAACAGGCCGGACACCTGGCATGTGCTGGGTCGCTTGCACCGTGTTGCATAAGCTCCTTCTGCACACGCCAAACACGCCTCGCCTGCCCTCCCTCCCAGCTGGCAGAAAGTCGGCACAAACTGTCTGATCTCCAGTTTCTCTTCATTAGCCTTCACAGCCCAGGACTGCCGATGCTCTAAAAATAAAGGTGTACCACCTGCGCATTCTCCAATGTGCATGTCAACACCAGATAGCAAGCACAATCTCTCACAATGGCTCACGCTTCAAAAAAGACAGAAATCATATTCCTTTTAAGAAGGATCAATGTCTGCTCTTGGCGCACCCGGTTCTACCTAAGGAAAATTGAATGAAGAAGATGTCAGGTCACGGGAACTCTCAATTTCTTAGAAATGGGTGAAGTACAGTTCGGTGGAAAGCAGTGAAACAAAATGCTTGTTACATCTGAAGTTGGCAGAGCTGGAAAATTCGGAGCTGGCAAGGTTCATGGGAATCAGGGACTGGGGCTAAGAGCCACTGGTTTCAAGACCACGTTGGCCACATCTCTGCTCTGTGAACTGGGGCAAGTATCACCCGACTGCATAGTAACCGTGGAAAGAGTTACCATCTCGATTTTACCAATGGGGAGGCAAAGCCAGAGAGAACAGAGATGGTTTACTTCAAGAGCACCTTGACGGGTACATAACTGGTTCCAGCTTAGAGCATTTTGTTATCAGCACACACTGTGATGAACACAAATAAGGGTTTACTATTTCCTGCTCTCGGCATTTGGAACCTGAAACAGAAAACAGCAGATTGGAGCCACGGCCTGTAAACTCAAGATTATTCTCTACCAGCCAACAAGATGGTGACGATGTGAAGTTAGACCAGGTTCTAAAAGGTTCCAGAAACCGTCCACTCTAACTCTACACAAATACCTCCTTCCCATCAAGTAGAACAGTTGAAGACAGGTGCCTCTTTCCCACGTCACTGTATAACCACTTTCCTATCATCCCACCAAAAACGACACACTCGAGAAGCGCCAGTAACCATCAGACACCGTCAGGAAGCCGTTCGCCCTCCAGTTTGGGAAAGACCAGGAGAATTATGTGCTCAGCGAGACTTGGCAAAGGGCATCAGCATGATTGCTGAACAGAGTGGTGCCAACTTCAACGACAAATAAACCAAGTTCATTTGCTTTATGCCCAGAAAATGCCAAACTTTGATGATGTGGAACAACTTTATCCCTTTTATAAGTTTAAGAGTACTTCCTAGACATTTGGGATGCAGCTGACGTAACGTCTACCATCCCTCTTTTGCTCATGCTCTTATTGGTAGAGCTGCGTAATTTGGTTCAATCAATTTATAATGTATTTTTCATGGTGAAGTCAATGTTTTGTTTTCCTGTTTCCAGTTTTCTTCCTTCTGAAAATTGCTTCCTGTGCCTGTCAGCCTTATATTTTATTTTCTGTATGGAATCTGCAAGGGTCAGAAAATGATATAAATTCCATTTCTCTAAAAGTCCCTGAACTTAAAAATGACATGAAATAACTATCCCCCAAAAAGTAAATAAATAAAATAAAAGCATCTTCTCAGTATTCAGTCTGTGCCAAAATTTCTCTTTTCCCACCTACCCTTTCTGGCGCTGCTGCATTCCTTACCCGCACCTGTGGTTCATGGACCACATCCAATGACAGTGCCTTGTCGACCTCCCCAGCCAACTGTCCTGGAGGTCACTGCCTCCTGCTCTGTGCCCCCAGGGCATTGATGCCCCGTCTCCACTTAGCAAGCCTCCTCTCTTACTGCTTCCTCAGGTTCTAGAACTGGCGCTGTCCCCAAGCCTTGCCGGGCCTGGGGTGCAGTGTCTTGGAGGGGAGGCCAGCTTTGGCACAAGCTCCCACCAGACCTCGAAGCTGCTGTCCCGGTGGGTATAACAAACTCCACCTTCCTCTGCTTACAACCGATATCTTAAATGCTCATGCGTGAACATTCTAGTGTTTGTGCTCAGCTCCTATTGTAGGGTTCAAGAATTTGTTTTTCTCCTCTTTGTACCTGCTTGCCCAAATCAGCCTTTGCCAATTGGGTCGCAACAGGTTTAAGGTTAAAGAAACAGGATAAATCAGTTTCTTAGGATATAATAAACATGAGAGAGAGAATTATAAGGTATCAATTGTTGACTGATTAGGTTAATTGTTCCTAATGGTGTTGCACGGTGTTGTAATGAAACTCACAACCCAAAGGTGTTCTGCCAGGTGGGGTGTGAAGTAACCAGAGGGAAAGATTCTACAAGCCCCTCAAAATCAGGAACAAAAGTTTGAAGATATTTCTATTCCCGGAGAGTCTCTGATGAACAGTGGTGTTTTCAGGTATATAACGGTTGCCAATTTCATATGGCGGTGCCTGTGGTAGATGCTGAACAGAGAGGTGAGGGTCGGTGAAGAGAGCGCATGCCCTGGGCCAGGTGGGGACGGATGGCTTCCTGACAGTGCTGGACCCTGACATGGCGGCTTCATAAACCCCAAGGAATGCCCAGGAATGCTGTCCTGAATCTTCCCAGGTTGAAGGCACGTTCCCAGCGGCCAGAGTGCAACATAATCTCAGTTTCTCAGTGAGCCTGGTTACCCAGCAAATGACACCTTTTTGCAATCTACTGACTATTCTCAAATAATGGGCAAATGTCTATGAGATCGCATCTCACAAACTCGGCAACATCAGGTAGTACTTCATCCAACGGGATAGGAAATCCACCACTGACGGTTGGTCACACTGTACCATTGATAACACTCCCCAGGAAGCTGTTTCCTATTTGATGGGCCCAGAGCGTTGAAGGGAGATCAGTGACTGTGTGGGGCTTGCAGGGCGTGCTTGGATGAGCTGAGCTGAGTCGTGGTGAGCTGAGCTGCACTTCCTCCTGGATCCCCTTCCTTGGGCAGCCTCAATTCACTCCGATCATTCCGTGCCATCAGACTGGGGGGGAGGGGCAGACACAGCTTATACCAGGACCACCCACAGGGGACGGGTCATTTCACCGCCCTGTGGAAGCCAAGGTCCTCCA